TAATTTGCACTGTCTTATGCGCTTACAAAGATAAAAATTAGCATAATGTAATGTTGATCACAAAATTATTTTATCTGGTACCAATCTAAACTCTTTTTTCCTTAGATGTTAGATGTGCTTGCAAAGATAGCCACATTTCACTCTGAAGGGTGTGTACTACGACAGTAAATTATGTTATGTCAATTCCAAGAATGTTTAAGGTTATATCGGTTGATGAGGAATTTATTGATTTAATAGGCCTATAATAGCAAATTGCATAAATTTATTTTGCAAAAGCGAGGTTTCCAGCTTCAGAAGGGCACATCCCTGTCCGCACAAGGGCTCACATTGGCGCTAACACCAGGCGCGTAACATGGGTCTTGGGTCAGAATGGGTATTTATTTTCCCGGTTAGTAGTTTACCGTACCCACCCCACCCCACTCCCCATATAGAAAACAATACGACATAGTGCTTATCTTATTTATAATATAGGCCACACACGTGTGTTTGAAACTAAATACAGATAAGCATTTTCATCGTGGTTTTATTTATTACAAATATATTTTTTCACCCTAAATACACATTGAGGCCCTTCTTTAAGGATGAACGATCTATCTTAAATTTGTCTTTATTGAGTTTGGGACTATTATGTGTTTAAATAACTTAAAAGGATAAACCTAAAAAAGCCCTAAAAAATGCGCGCCAAGCGGGCAAAATATTTTTGTGTTTTTAATTCTAATTTCATCGGAATTGATGAAAACTCCCTGAAACGTGCAATTTATAGAGAGAAATTGGCCTACCGTAACAAGAAATGCGCGCAAAGAATTTGAGAATTTTAGGCATTTTTAAAGGATGCATTTGTCAAGGAGTGGAGAAAGATTTCCAAAGATGGATATTTTCCCCTTGTCCCCCGGTGTTTTTAATTCTAATTTTGTTGGAATTGATCAAAACTCCCTAAAATGTGCAATTTTTAGAGGAAATTGGCCCATGTTAACAAGAAATTTTTTAGGCACTTTCAGGGGATGAAAAGGGCATTTATAAAGGGGTGGGGAAGATTTTTCAAAGATAGATATTTTCCCCTTGTCCCCCAGTGGTTACGCCATCGGGCAGCATAGATCAAAGGAGTTATGACAGTTTTTGAAGTGGTGAAGGGGTTGCAGGGTGTTGTGAGTCTGGTCATTATGACATCTTCTTTCTTTTTATTATTGTCTCTATTTTTCTCTTCTCTTTTTCTTTCCTTTTCTTTTAATCTTCTTTCTCTTTCCCTCCCTCTCCCCTCTTTCTTTTCTCTTATTACCCAGCCCGGTACGACGACTTGGTCAGCCCGGTAAAAACCGTCAGGCGAGGGGGAGTTTTCTTCCCCCCCCCCACCTCCGCGGATGTTACGACACTGTCTAACACGCCAATCATCCCCCCAATGAAAAATACTTTTCTACGCCACTGCCCAAAATTAAGCTAAATCAGCTTCAGAATTAGCCCGATAAAACCTACTGGAAAATGTTCGGCATAGTACCAGGTATCATGAATGGCCAACGCCAGACATTTTTAGTGGTGGGGTGTACCCGTCAGATACCTCCTTATACCCGGACCCCGCCCCAATAATCGACCTTGATCAACTTGTGAGCTAACCCGATAAAACCTACTGGAAATTGTTCGGCATAGTGCCAGGTATCATGAGTGGCCAATGCAAACCTTTTTAATGGTGGGGTGTACCCACCTGACACCCCTTATACCTTTCCCCTTGCCAAAAAAAAAAAAATTAACATAGAACAGCGTGTGGGTTAACTTGATCAAACCTATTGCTAAAAAAATGGGCATAGCACCAGGTATCATGAATGGCCACTACCAGTTTGGTGGTGTGGTGTATTTATGGAAGGCCAAAAGGACAATATTACAAGTGGCGGAGTGCAAAAGTCAAGTGGCACTGTGCAAAACTAAAGTGGCACAGTGCAAAACTAAAGTGGCGCAGTGCAAAACTAAAGTGGCGCAGTGCAAAACGAAAGTGGCGCAGAGCAAATCCAAATGCGTGTGCTGGTACTTGAACTTTGCACTGCGCCACTGGACTTATGCACTGCGCCACTTTAGGAGATATTGTATGGAACGCCAATTTTGGCATCAAAATTAAACTATAAAATAAATGAATAAAAAAAATCAAGAACACATAATTCAATTTTTCTTAGTAATTTCACAGCAAAACAACAACAGCACAAAAATTTGGGACTAAAACACAAATAGGAACGTTATGATCATAGGCATACTTGTCGTAGATACCGTTTTTAGCCTAGGCTTATATATACTATTCATCGTTACTACTGCTAATAAAGGCCTATAGCACAGCCATGGCTACTAGAGACCGATTAGAAGCTTTGGTAGTGATGGGTTAT